TTCTGCCGCCACGGCCCCAACAAATCCATTAATTTGGGTAATACCATTTCTTTTCAGGGGTGGGTTTTGCAACCCGCAAAATTGGAAACATGACTACACCAACGCTGACTGTTACCAGAGACGGTGATAAATTGTGTGGAAATCAGAATCAACATTCAAAAACCAAACAGTAGAATTTACCGTGGGAGAAGAATTCGATTTCAAAACAATGGATGACAGGAATGTAAAGGTAAAGAAATTACCAACAAACACACAAGTCAAGTATTTCTTCCTTTGAGCACGTGTTGTACGTAATCCTGTTGAATTCACGCCGCGCTGTACAGTGCTAGTATATGTGTAGCACTGATATAATGCGCAAGTCATTAAAGTTTTATAGCAATGCGTACAGATAGTATTATCAGTTCATTTTAATCATCATCTGATCTCGACTAAGACACGTTTGGCATTTCCCGCCAAATTGTTCTAATCACTTCGTCTAGACTCTCCTAAACGCTTTGCATCCACGTGCATGCTACTACAAACACCGTGAGGGACGGTGGTACAAAGTAGAAAGCGCGCGGCAGGACGCAATGTGAAGGACATTTGAGATGTTAAACTGCCGTTTACATGATCACTGCAAATTAAATCTGTTGCCTAACCTCTGATATTACTTGGAAGCCAATCTGCTTTCACGGCAGTTTGGTTATTTGTTACGTCTCAACTATTGTCAAATTTGGTCACGTGAACATGCCGTCTGGATCTGTGTTGTGCATGGTCTACACTTATAAACGCAGCATTGCTGAAGACATGCATTTTTCAATATCGTTGTTTGAGACTGCATGTTGGAAGCCAAATTAGAATGTTGAAATTAAAATGTTGATTTTGCTGAACACACTCGTTCGATGAAAAAAACACAGGCTAATACGTATCTCATGTTTTTGTTTGGTACAGGAAAAACATTTTTACGTCATGACAAATCACAATCAAAATGTGTCATCAACATACAACAATACTTGTAACATTACATGTTCATATCCGTATTGTATCCGATTTAGTAGTTGGCTTAAAATAAATCTTTATATCCTTTAGCTTAGGTAATTTGACAGGACCATGAGCTATTTACATACATTACAAAACATTTCCCATTCAAATAACTGCCTTACGGCTGTACTCTCGGCATAAAAAAACTCTTTTGAAACGTCAGTGGCAGTTGAATGTAACCAGCCAATCAGCAAGCCCACGCAATGACATATTTTGAAAATGGAAACATCTCCTTTGCAGTGCAGAGAGTATCGCTTTAACACAATTTGATTTGGGGGCGAGATCTGAAATCTAGACTCTCTGAAACGCTATTTCCTGCATTTTTGAATGACAAATTTTGCTGACACAAATGGTTTCAGCTTGATTTGGGGGGCGACGCCCCTCTCATTTTTTTCGGAGGGCGACCCCCTTGTGCCTCCGCCAGTGACCTGAGTTGAATAAGATTTGTCCCCCCCCCTCATTTATATTAGCAAAAACATGTTGTGTCTTGTCTCAGACATGATCTACTGAGTTAGTCACATTGCATATGACAAAGTCGGATAGAGTTTATGGATAAAATCACTTGAAATTATTTGAAACTTTAAAATTATCTGTGACGGGGCAGTGTGGCATGAAGTGATATGAAAGCCAGATTCATTTTACTCAAGTTTTGCTTTAAGTTGAAATAAATAATACATTTATAGTTTTTAAATATTTATTAGTCTCATTTGCATACCAATAAGAATTTTCCAATATAGAGCTATGCGTTATACATCTTTGCCCACAGTGCGTTGTAACATGGGATAAAGATAAGCTGAAGGAAGTGCAGAAGCCAAAGCCTGGTGAAAAGGGCAAAGAAACAACTATAGTCAGAGAAGTCACTGATGATGGAAATATACTCATGGTGAGTTCTCTAGATTCAAAGTTTGTTTTTCATACCGTCAGTTTTTGTATTGTTTACGGGCCGAGAACGTTTGCTTCCTGATACAAATACAGATCAACGTATTCAATTATTTTTGATATATCACATTTGCTTTATAACTAAAATAAATAAATAAATACATAAATACATAAATAAATAAATAAATAAATAAATAAATAAATAAATAAATAAATAAATAAATAAATAAATAAATAAATAAATAAATAAATAAATAAATAAATAAATCGGTGTTTGCAGTGGAATCAAATCATGTCTGGTTTCTGTCTGTTGGTCAACCACGTGGTCTCAACTTGATATGTCTGAACCTCAATGAAGCAATATGCAAATACAGCCAAATTAAAGGTAAATTCAGTAGTATTAACATGCAACCAACACGACCAATAAAGAAATAGAATATAAAATGCTCTTTCCAGTCTAGTGGTTTTAATCATCATTAAGCAAGTTTCATTCGGACCTCAAATTACTTGTTATAGTGATACAACATTAGTTAACATACAATTATTAGATTCATAAAAACCAAATTATTTAAACTGTCAATATTCATCAGTTTAGTGTGTCGGGTTGAAGTCAAACCATTAAATAATCGGTAGTATAGTACGAAATATTAGTGGAGTAATATATGCCTGGTGCGTGGAATAAATACGATACAGCTGTAGATATATTGAAATGATGAACTCAAAATATAGTGGACTGTATTGTGGGCGATGTGAATAAAATGACTATGCGTGAATGGAAAGGATTATTAAAAACTGTACATATATAACACATCTGTGTAATTGAAATGCAAATTTATCTGAATCCAACATTATGCCAAATGTATCGGCTGTTTTAAAAAATAAAGAATATTTGACAGACAGCCCGTGCCCGTTATAGATAATCAATGTCTTTTACGGTGCCTTTATTTTGTCATTAACATGTACAATGTTCGAAACCACTTTCTTCCAATTGGGTTTTGTAATTTAGGTAATACCAGACATTGTGCTTTTTAAATACGAGATGCAGGTTCTAATTATGTTCGCATTTATATAAGATAATTTGTTTGTAATAAAAATAACTGACAGATTCGATTCATATTATTTAAAGCGATTGGTGCTTGACGGACACAAAGGAGCTGGCATTTAACTGACCTGACTTTAATTTTTTCACACTTTTAAGGTTAATGTTTTTTTTTTATTTATTCTTCGATTTTTGAAAACTAGTTGACAATGTTTAGACTAAACAGAGTCATTGTGTATATGACCTCCCCAGGCAAAATAATGACCAAAAACTGTTTCTTGGTGAACTAATATACTGAATAAAAATGTATTCCAAGTAAGTCAACATTGACTGCAACTTATACACATTACATGTTCCAAAGTAGTACTGTATGAACTCTGTCTTTTCTTGGACTACATTGACCAAAGCTTAGATTACACTATCATGCCATCTTACTCGTAAACCGATGCTACTTAGTACTATGCAAATATAACTGAGGAGATAGTGTGATTTTATTAATGTGGCGAGATGTTGTGTAACCTTTGACCCAATAGACTTTAAACTTGTGAATACAATATAGTTGATATCAATGAATTTCCCATCCGAAACACTGTGTAATCCTTTAGATATTTGTAATACTTTTTCGTGCCCGTCTAGAAATGCACGTATTTTGTGTAAAATGTTTATATTTTTTGTGACAAAATACGTCGATGGTGCACGAAACCCCAACAATTGTGATAATGAGTGATTTTGGCTGTAATTTATTTTAAGTGAAGTCACACATGTACCACTAGGGTATCTGTTTCATTCAGCGTCGTGGCGATTTACTTGCATGATAACATACCGCTATTTGCAAACGAAACTGTGCAGTTTCAGTCATGTTAGAATATGAGTATTTTAAAATAAACCACAAATTAAATCAATCTTTGATTTTATATATATATTTTTTAATTTGTGTGTGTTTTTTAGCTCCGCTGTCGACTTTGTCGAGCGGAGCTTATCATATGAGTGATTGTCCGTCGTCGTCCGTCGTCCGTCGTCCGTGTCAATGTTTTACTTTTTCGACTTCTTCTTGAAAACTACAAGCCTGAATGCTTTGATACTTGGTGTATATGTACCTTGGGTAGACCTTTCTCAGATTTGTTCATTTCATGATCATATCTTCAATTCTCTAATTTTGGTGAATATTTTTGTCATTTTTGGTAAAAAGTGATATTTTCGACTTCTTGTTAAAAACCACAAGTCCAATTGCTTTGATATTACATATATAGGTACTACATGTGGACCTCTCTCAGATTTGTTTATTTTGTAATGATATCGTCAATTCTCTATTTTTGGTGAATATTTTTGTCATTTTTGGTAAAAAGTGATATTTTAGACTTCTTGTTGAAAACCGCAAATCCAATTACTTTGATATTACATATATAGGTACTACATGTGGACCTCTCTCAGACTTGTTCATTTTGTAATAATATCTTTAATTCTCTAATTTTGGTGAATATTTTTGTCATTTTTGGTATAAAGTGATATTTTCGACTTCTTGTTAAAAACGACAAGTCCAATTGCTTTGATATTATTACATACATAGGTACTACATGTGGACCTCTCTCAGATTTGTTCATTTTGTAATGATATCTTTAATTATCTAATTTTGGTGAATATTTTTGTCATTTTTGGTAAAAAGTGATATTTTCTTCGTGTTAAAAACCACAATCATTTATGGTGAAAAATGAGTCCCATTGCATTTATACTATGCATATTGTTCATTTTCTAATGATATCTTCTGTTCTTTAATTGAAATGTGCATTGCTAACAGCGGAGCTATCTCAGCCGAGGGGCTGCTTGTTTAGCTCCGCTGTCGACTTTGTCGAGCGGAGCTTATTATATGAGTGATTGTCCGTCGTCGTCCGGCGACCATCGTCCGTGTCAACTTTTTACTTTTTTGACTTCTTCTTGAAAACTACAATTCTTACTGTTTTGATACTAGGTGTATATGTCTTGGATTTGTTCATTTCGTGATGACATTTTTAATTCTCTAATTTTGATGAATATTTTTGTCGTTTTTGGTAAAAAGTGATATTTTTGACTTCTTGTTGAAAACCACAAGTCTGCTGGATTTGATACTATACATATAAGTACTAGAGGTAGACCTCTCTCAGAATTGTTCATTTTCTAATGATATCTTCAGTTCTTTAATTGAAATGTGCATTGCTAACAACGGAGCTATCTCATACGAGGGGCTGCTTGTTTATTATTATACTTTATCAGTTTATTTATTGGTACCGGTGTTTCTTTTTTAAATAACATTAATTCTTGTTTATTTTGTTTTATTTTTCAGACTTTGTACATCGATGATGTTGTATGTACACGTCTTTACAAGAAATTGGAATAGAAATATTCTAGACAGGAAAAAATTGCAAAATACAACCATAAAGAATTGCGTGTAGTTTGTAATTATAGTGACACATAGTGTGAATATTCTCAGTCATAGGTGCTATAAGCTCCCATTTACGCTTTACCTTTAATTTGTATCTTAGGCCACACTCCACAAAATTTGTATTTGTTGAGCAGCATTTTATTTGTGTTTATAGAGTTATTTTTATTACAAAATATGGGATCTTAAGATTTTAGTTGGGAGTTATAATTTGTATCATTAAATATGCATACATTTTTCAACCAACGTGAAATGTACATGTATTTGTTTTCAACCCAAATGAAATGTACATGTATGTGTTTTCAACTAACATGAAATGAGCATTAGTATGGAACTTGATCAATTAAATGACAATTAAACAATTGATGTTGTGTTTTGCTGTGTTATAGGAAATTGAATTTCACTATTGTACTTGTTGCAGATACAGGTGAATAATTAAATTAGTATCATGCATTGTGTTCTAAAATATTAAAAATGAAATAATGTCTAACGTTTGTGCATAGCATAGCACACTGGCATTCACGCATTACCTATTAGTGCCAAACAGGATGTACAAAAATCACTTTAGGTGTTCAATGGTAACTTTATAGCAAGTGGAAAAATAATAACTAAGAAAGTATATTTAAAAAATTAAAGATAATGTCTACACTCTACAGAAAGTTCATGAGTTATTCAACCAAAGTTCTGCATCCTTTACTGTTTGTGCATTTATTTGGTAACCTATGTTAAAAGAACATCTTCGTATTACCAGGATGTTCCCTGAGTTCAGTTTTACCACAGCCTGACATAGTTATCTGAGGAATGCAAGAGTCGATTGTGAGTTTAGTACGCCCTCGACGATGTTTTATAATATATGCCGTAGGCGGCGGTATAAATAAAAGGCGCAACGTTGTTTGCATCCTTGTTTTGTGGCACGTTTGTGTTTTATTGCCGAAACATTAACGACCCGATTTTCCGGATCAACACCAGTTAGTAAATCGTTGAAATGAGTTTACGAATTTAGTCGATTATTGCAGCAACGAAAAGTGGCAATGCTATTTCACCCAATCTCCACGAATGAACTGTCCATCCACTATCAGTCGTCTGTAAATGTGATGTTCAAAACGTATCTACGACGTGATCCCCCCCCCCCATGACGTCAAAGTTTCATGAACATATATCTAGTGTGAGAATAGTGAACCTTAGAGAGAAACGAAATAGTCCAGTTTCATATTACGGCCAATTCGATATTAGTCCCTGATTTTCTTTATTAAATTACATTTTGTATAACAGCCTTTGTCACGGTCCTACTGGCGGAATCTCTCTGACGTCGCTCGTGAACTTACTTGCCTTCACAGACCATTTCCAGAACTGTAATCGCATCATTTTATTTGTAATAAAACAATAAAACATGTATTACCACAGTCATAGTGAAAAAATGTAATACATCAAAAATGTACAGAAAATATAGTTATCGTAATCCGTCATCCGTGAGCAGCTATTTTGATCCACCTGGACATCTCAGTATCCTAGTTATCTCGGGCATGCGCATTCGCATTTTTCTGAGTTGGAACGCTTATGCGAGAGTGAGATTGAAACGGGATCTTGGTTTCATGTCACCGTAGTTGCAAACCCCAAGTAATATACCTCTGATAAAATTTATATATATTGTAACATGCTTACATGGTATTCTCGGGCGGACATCCGGGCATTTTCACCGCATGGCAACCATCACGGTGAAAACAAAGGCCGAAAACTCTCAGAAAACGGTACTTTGGGATGGTTGTTGGGACTCCCCTGAACAGTGTAACAAGATTACCCCTGCGTGTGTAACGCATATAAATTTGATTGTTCAAGATTACTTCAAAAATGAGTTCCCGTTGTTTTCTCGAGTTTTCACCGGCCTTTCGCTCGGTGTTCTGCGTTCCTCAGCAGCGCGCGCAGAGCCCTTAGTACAGTGGTGCGCGTCTTAGTCTTGTGACGTAGCTCCGCCCTCGAGGATTGGATAGCATTGGTATATTGTTGAATATGCTCACTTGGTGTTTGTCGGACTGGGATTTTGAGTACAGTTTGAGAATATGGTCCCTTCCATGGAATGAACACCATGCGTCTCATTACGTGTGGTTGAGTACTCCAGTCTGAGTCTGAATTTCAGATTAAAATGGGCCTTATTTTGGCGTCTGCGGAGTAGTTGGAGACCGAAGACTGCTACTTGAGGGCGTCGTAACCCGGATCTAAAGCAAACACTTTCAGATAGAATGAACATAGTTCAAAGCAATATGATCGGTAGGGTGGTTAGTGACTATTTTCTGGTTCCATTTAGCGAACAAGCATGCAACTTGAACCTAGATTGTCCTAGTATTACCAAAGCAAATACCCAATCTTGTAGTAACAACCAAGGTTGTCAATCCATACAAACTTTACTTGCCGCCGTGAACGAGATGTCAATTAGTCCAGCGTCTCCAATGAACATTTTAACACCTTCTCGAAAAAGCTTTTCCTTTGAGATCAAAGGAGATATATCAAAAACCAATTATGTCCACGTCGTGTTATTGTCCTTCAACGTACCTTCATTGTAAGACGAACGTAGTCTCTAGTCCGTCCGTTATTGAAACCCAGCAGTATTTCCGACAGTATCAGGAAGGGGATGGGATACTCTTACACATAAACACCCCGAATAGAAATTAAACCACGTGCTGACACAACGGGGGGTGGGGGGGTGGGGGGGGTGGAATTGTAGTATAGAATTGTGGTCCAATGTGCCCTGGTAAAAACTGGGATATTACTAGGCCTGTGTACATTTTCAGTAGTACTAGTTTGGACGTGTCTCTTCTGATGGTTGCAAAACTTAGTTATACTTACCAAGGTCGCCATACGACTGCGTCGTATGAAGCATCTGAGTCAATAAATGAGATTTAGTCCGTGAAATAATAAAAAAATCTAGATTGTCTATAGAGGGACTGTGATTTGAATGATGTCACCCACGCTCAATACCTAATTCAACCGAGCAACTTAGTAATGTGCATTTTATATATGTTATGCTCTAAATAATTTCGATGCTCATTTCTAAGGATAATATCTTCGTATGCTTGATAGTAGCATTTCATTTTTTTTCAGATTGAAATTATATATATATTATTAAACATGTTATGATTTACTGGGAACAATAATCATTATTTGAACTTTATGAGCTCGTCATTATACCTAGGATTAACTAGTGTTTTGTTCATATTTGATTCATTGGATCTAAAGTACTAAACGTAATCTTTCGCACGGATACTTCAAGTTCTGTTAAGCAGCTCGTTCCTTGTTCAATGGCGAACATATACACCAGCAGCATTCGAATGACACAGTCGGTGATTCCCACAGCCACATCTATGTCGAATTAAATGGGGGTTGTTAAAGTTTCATTCGAAGATCATTCATGGAGCTGTATTGGAGTTATTATTATTACAATGTGCACGTGCGTAAATTACAAGATCCCAATAAAGCTACCTTAATGTTGTATGTGTGCAACATTGGCATTCCAGGCCTGTGGAAGTAACTCGTAATAAACAACTAAACTATAATTACGGCGACACATTGGAAAAAAAAACATATTGTATTACTGCTGAGGTTTGAAGTCAAATATTTATGACGATGGTTTTTAATCACTGGATACACCATAGAAGGTAGTAGGAGCTACCTTCAATGAATACGCTCACGTAAATGTTCTAAAACGTTTATGCACGGTTACTAGAAGAACGGTTAGGAAACTCTCTTGGTTCTTTTGTTAGGATGCGTGTCTCGGTAAACATTTAAAACAAAAGGATATCTTCTAGTAACCGTGGTTTATGATACTCTTCTCCCTCCCCACGGACCTTGCCTAACTACCCCCACATGCGTATATCCCGCGAAGACAACGACATTTCCCATGGGTCCGATTTAGGTAACGTTAGATACCCATTGAAATGATCTATTTTCACACTCACTGTTAAAAAGGCACCAGTAAGTGTAGTAATCACACAAGCACGCACCGAGCGAGGGTTTAAGAACATACACACAATAGCGTTTTAAAAGCAATAACATAGTTTGGACCACAACCCCATTAAAGCGATACGCCTTGTCCATTCAGGCTATTAAAATGAACTAAAGTTTCAACAATCGCTCGTTAGTCGAATTCAGGAAGAACTGGAATTTTTCTAATTGCCTAATTTAATATTTATTTACTGCTTTCAGAAAGGAACAAACAACGTTAATGAGAACGAGAAACGAAACAATGCATGAAAGGGCATCGGCTGGTGGCGAATTAACAATTCACGCTACTGTGAGCGAATATGGTTCAACACTGTTATTGAATCACGTGTATTCGTGATCGAAGTTCGATGCAAAACTTTGAACACGGTACGCTTATATGTACGTTAATTACCTACGCAATTATATAATTATAGCTGGATTCCCACTTTGTATGATCAGAACAGATATAGAACGTCTTCGTCCTAGTTGACCAGTGCTAATCATAATGGCTTTGAGTTGTTGTACAGTTCACGAGAAATCAGATCAGAATTCTAAAATCAAACTTCTAAAATAAATATGGTGGCCTTTAATGATTACAACTTAAATTACATTTTATTTGGTTATTACATTCATTATAGGTATATGGTTAGTTTTATTGTTTGCCAAACCCACTACATGATTTTATCATTTTATCAGGGAAATCAAACTAATCTATTGGCGGTTGGAGGTGTTTCGCTTATAAACACAAGCGGGAATGCATTACTATCAGGCGAATAGCCTAGAATAACATGTGTGCCTGAACGCAGAATTCGAAGTCGCATAATTAGGACGATATGAACGCACCTACTCTCCGATAGTAATTAAAAAGTGAATGGCTTTTGAACTGCACTGTATAACGTATCTGTCCGAGATGTAATTGTAATGATTCAAAAATCATGTGAAAATTAATTTTCCAGAACAAAAAAAGTCGACCATATTGGCTGTAGTTAACATAGAAGTTATTCTACGTCATTACCACATGTGCCCTCTGAGGGACTGTCTCATTATCATAGACTGACCGTTGCGCTTATAATGTTGTGTACAACTACGTGCTATTATGTGATAAGAAAACACAATAACTCCGTAACAAAACAGACGTTAACAGTGACATAAATTTGTCAATTGCCTGTATATGCATTCATTTATTTATCTAAGATTTTTTTAAACATTTTAAACAGTTTCCCGGAAACCTCAACTATGTACCTGTCCATTTCGCCGTATCAAAAGGTAATTGGCGTGCTATATTAGTTAACGCACTCACATCGCGCCAGCCGATCCCCAGAGCAGACTACCCATACAATAGTACGAATTCGAATACGTTTTTTCCCCGACAACCCGCACTCTAGCCTATCGAATAAAGACGATGCCGAACAGTCGACCCCACGAATTTTACTCGCCTCAGTGAACGTTAAAATTTTGGCTTACATTGACTCCTTTATTTGAACTGTCTATAATAAGAGATGATAGAACTGAGACTTTCAGATCACTATGGTTTGTTGCCTGTTAATCCATGGTTTTAACAAACTGAATAAAACAAACCCACGTAACCGTCATATCTGTTAAATGCATCGGTTATGTTGTCGTGTTTTTCATTTAACCTCACTCTGTATCTTTATTGAATATGTAGACATATTTCAAGAGTACCCGCAACCGTTCCTGAGACATGCTGTAACAACTAAAATAATATTTAAACAAGCAGGCCAATGTTCTCTACAATTCTTTGCAGCCATTTTCAGGGTTTTCAGTGATGAATGCAGTTTTTTTACAGCCAGGTGAAAACGTTTTTGAAATAGAACTTCCAATATATAAATACAGGTGTCCTACTTCACAACAAGCGACAAGGACATTTGGTTTCGAACACAAAGACAACATTTCGATTGGGGAAAATAAATCCACTTGCCGCGAGGTGTAAAGACAAATAGAACATATACAAACAACAAATCAGAGTAATGGATGTAGAGCTCACTAAGAACACACATTATGATAACTTAATTTATTAAACTACTTCTAAATAAGAGGAAATTGGCTCAGTACCCATACGCTCCGTGTGGTGATTCATACGCTGGGTCCACAATAAACTATTACTCGTATTCCATTAACGAAGAAAAATGTTTATACGATTGTATACGATGTCGCTGTTTAGCTTGCTTAAATATCATCGACCTGTTTCTACAAACTTTTTTTTAGAAAATAGTTTTTGGTTTACACATGTGAACAAATCTGAACACGAAACTATACGCGCCGTGTTCGATAAGAGCTTCATGCGACGTAGGCAGCGAATGTAATAAAATGATGTACATTTTTTGTTAAACGTGGAATTGGAACTCGAGCGGCGGACGAACATTTCCATGTGCTATATTAATTATACGTAATACCGGTTAGTTTTACCAAGCGCAATACCAATATTTGACCAATAAATATCCGTTATACATTAACTTTAACGTAACAGACGGACATAACCAGTGGGCGGGGAACAGTTGGATCTGATCCGGTAAAGAGTTCGAGTTGGCGAAGTTCATCGACATTTATCGCGGGTTCATAGCGTTATCAAATAAGCGCTTCGAAGGACGTGACATCGGGGTTTACAAATTTATAAATACCTCGGGTTAGATTCAAATTTGAAGGACATGAAACAAAACAACAACAATTTTCTAAATTATCCAGTTAATGGTGTAGACATCCTCCGAACAAATTCCCTTACACTGTATACTCAATTCGAAAAGAATAGGTAAACGAACACCGTGTTCATGGCCAATTCGAAATAAGAGTTTCATTTGTCTGATTGCTAAATGCCAACACGTTCACATATGTGCTGAAAGAGTGTGGTATGTGGGGGGGGGGGGTAAAAGTTACTTGAAAATAACAATTTCAGATCATACACAGACTTCAGACAAACATATGTTGATTTCCATCGAGCATTCCGTCTCTCACTCACATTTGATCGTAGGTTGAAACGTTCCTGTCATCACGAAGATTCGTGTGCGATATGGGTGCTATCGCTGGCGGATAACTGGGGACTAATTTGCAAAATGCAACTTGAAAAGGACTGTAATTTGTGCAATCACTCTCAAACTGACATGAACCAAAATAATGTAATACAAATATTGAAGAGTCCTATCGCAATAAGTTCTATCATGTGGCATGGGGTGTAAAACATTCACCCAGCAGTGTAATTGTTGCTTTTTTGTTTTTCTTATAAACTTGACAATGACGGGGGCTGGGCAAGACATTCTGAACTGGTGACATCCTAGGCAATCTAAATACCCCCCCCCCTCAATTTTCACGGCACATAGTTGATAAAGACCGTGTAACCACGTATACAGTAGTAAACCAACATACGACACACAAGTATATTTTAATTTAAATATATTTTATTCTACCGACCTGCAATAGCATGAGTTCAAATAGTCATTTACAATAAAATTTATCGAATAACGAGTTGCATTTCTCATTTTTTTGTTAGAAGAATCTGAGAAACACTGGTCATTTATTGTTCATACGACAACAAAGACATCGAATGCTTTGCGATCTGTTTGCGTATTTTTGTCGGGTTACCGTCACACATCGAAATATAATTTTTTATAATGCCAAAAATCGTTGAAATTGTAGCATGATTTAATTATTAATGTGTGTGACAGAATTGATGACAAGATGTATTTACAATTTGAAAATGATACAAAAACATTAGTGATTGGTTTGGATACAAGCCGTGAAACGTATTACCTTTACACGTGACCGACTTACTTAACAAAAGCGTTTCACAGAGGTAAAACTTTATACTTCAAATTATGAAAAAAGTTTGTTAGAAACTCTGATAAAAATAAAATCTAGAATATGACATAAGATAACCAATTGTACTTTAAAATGTCTATAAAAATGACGGGCTATATTCCAGGTAATCTTATAAGCTTGGAGGGGCGAGTCTGTTCATGTGGTGGAATTGTCTGTCGCTTCCAACATTTACGTAGGAAAATGGTTGCTGTAATCGTGAAGACGCCTGGTAGTTGGGTATCGTTGTTGATCGCGTCGTTGGTATACCTTTGAATTGATCTACGAAGTACGCGCTAGAGTTTATTTGTGAACGCTGGTACAGTGACGATGGATAGTATGCTGTATTGCATGATGACGACAAAGCGCTGTTCAGGCCGTTCCAGGAATCTGTGTGATGGTTTTCCATCGGTCTTGCTTGCACTGGAATGCTGTCTATACCCTGATAGCTGCAAGCTGGTGCAGCAATCCCGGAGCCGAAAAGATTGAAATGTCCGTATGAGCTAACGTGCTGGATTTGTGCCGGTTCGTTCCTCCTACGTCCCAATTTGAATCGCTTTGCCCGTCTTAAATAACTTCCATTAGCGAACATATCCCGTGCAGCGGGATGCAACGCCCAATAGTTGCCTTTCCCTGCTCTACCGGGGGCACGGGGAATCTTCACAAAACAGTCATTCAAAGACAGATTGTGTCGAATCGAATTCTGCCACCTTTGTTGGTTTTCTCGGAAATACGGGAACTTGTTCATGATGAATTCGTATACCTCATTCAAAGTCAGCATGCCATCTTGGGCATTCTCCAGTGACATGGCTATCAAAGCAATGTACGAATACGGCGGCTTGACATCGGCGAATCTCCTCTTCTCATTCGTTAAGGATGACTGTGACGAGGAGGAAGCTGCGCTACTGGAAGAAGGTGACGGCGAGGGAGCACTTTCTAAAACGTGCTTGTCCGGCTCACCGCATGGTATTGATACGAACTGGTTAGCATGGACAGCCTGGTTTCCCTGTATCATTTCTCTGTAGGTATGTTCTTCATCTGTGTACAGTTGAGTGTTGTAGTTGAACGCCATCGTAGTGTGATGTAGGTGTACAGTCGGCAGAGGACGAATCGAGCTCTTGTCGGAACCTCGTACACTGCGTACTGACACCGATTTACGCAAACCGTTCCCTTTTTGTTGAGCAGACAAGACTAATAAGATTTGTTAGCTAACTCAGTATAGGGTTTGTGGTGACCACGCTCTGAATATGGATGAGATTAAGTCACATTGTTTGAGGAGCTAGAGGGGCATTTAAAGATCGCCACCCACTGAGAAGCCTATTCAAACATACAATGCGTAACACAATGACTTGACGAATATGGGACCATCTCATTAAGACTTCAACAACGTATCGATCGAACGATAAACGTGTTGTTATCATCTTCTTGTCTTGCCCTGCCCACGTCATTACCAAGTTTATAAGAAAAACATGAAAACAACAATGACACTGGTGAGTGAATTGTTTTACACTTCATGCTACACAGAACTTATTGCGATAGGACTCTTCAATATTGTTGTTACTGTATTGTTGATGTTAAAACAACTTGATGAACTAGTCACAAAAAAGCATTATGACAATTAATATTGTGGACTTGTATGTGAGATTTGTGCTACTATCTTTTAAAATGTTGATGTGATGCCCGACACACGTGTTAATAGCATACGGACAACGTGGATAAACGTGTGTTTTAATTTTGTTTTTATAACTCAACATTGGAATCGCGCCAGATTCCAGTAATACTACACAATAATCGTCAACTTCGAGCTCATAAACATGTCTGTTTTAGGGTATTTTACATTATTTTGGTTCATGCCACTCGCGGCGTTATTATTATTTAAATATTTGGCCAGATTCCCGGCGACGCGATTAGTGATTCCTTTGAAATCTCATTAAGTCGTTATTGGAAGCATATAAACAAGCATCGTGAATCACTTAACTAAGGTGTGGATTATCTTTTTGTGTTCATATGAATTATACATGAGGGTATTGTGAGTAGGTTTGGAACAAACAACGCAATTAAAATACAGTGTCGTCAATATTTGTATCACTTCAACTGAAGTATACATTACGTGTCAGTTTCATCGGAGGAAACCAACATGTATCCCGCTGACATCTACGAAATACAACATTGTTCAAACTTTAAAAAAGACATCACATCAGCTACTACTGCAAAGACGCCGCCTTCCGGTGTTAGGCGGCAAAGTTCAAACGGGATCGCCAGTAGGTTAATCGACGAAATGTCGTCAATTGAACAGAGATAACTTCTAATTGGTGTCGGCGAACTTTGAGCTAATTACTCTCATTAATACCGGATTTATTAGTATTTGTGGTAACCGTCCAACAACACCGGGCGGGACGAGTAAAAGACAGTGAGAGAGCGATTGTTACTACTTGAATTTCGTTACATTTGGTTGCAGTGGAATGACAAACATGGCACTCCCTGTGTCATCATTACATTCTTCAACACCCGACATAAAAACACAACGGAACACAATCAAATAATCCGACAACAGGTGGGTGGATATACGCGAACTGAACACTATGTTTAAGATTATTTGTTGTACTATAACTACTCAGGTCAACAACTGAATTTACTTCAAATAAACAGAATGTTGCGATTTTCATTCATTCCTACAACTCCATCACGCTCTTACTTGTTAGTTGTGCTCTTTGTTTCTAATTATTATGTTTAGCTCGATCACGTGACCACGGTGCGCCATATTGCTCAACGTACCATTTGTATTCAGATTAAAATCTGTGACTACAATCAAAACAAATGATCAGATTTCAACTACTTTTTGTGGAGAAAAAAATGAACCACTTAAAATGAACCACTTACTATTGGTTCCAATAGCAAAAAGAGGGGGGCAAGGGGGCAGCTGGCACAGTTTTATGGGAAACTGAATAAAAAGAGCTTTTTACAATTTATTTACAAAGAAAAAAAGACGTTTTTACAGTTTACAGTGATAAAAAATGGAACATTAAATGGTCCGAAGAGCTCTCCGACTCAAATTCTGCGCCGTTGCTGCGCTGCAATATTTGATTGATTACGTTGTACGTCTAGCCTGTGATTACAGAATTACGGAATTTATTTTTTCAATTTACGTTGTACAAACAAAAAAATATTGCAATTACGTTGAACGAAAAAAACCCTTGCCCCCTCCAAAAAAGGCTCGTCATATCTCAAAATTCCGTTGAATTATATATGAACAACACAAATCGTATGTAGGCACAACATTTTATTTATTTATTTACCCAGTAATTATAGGATTGAAGATTCATACTCGTACGTCTGTCTCCTGTCAACGCACCCAGTGAGCATTTACAAACTCGGTAATAAGAGATTGCACAACTCAAGCATACTCATGTAATGAGATGAATATGTCAACTGTCCCGCGGAAACCTCTACTCTTTATGATAAGAACAACTGGATCTTTTATGTGCACTGAGGATAGGACGTGTACCGACACTGGTCCCACAATCCCCATCCGACGGAAAGGACGTCGTTCTCCCAAATACGAATGCCACAAGCCATAGGCAGAATGTATTCTTTTTGTGCTTTTGAGTGTGCAGCCGACCACGAGTGTTGAACCTAAAACCTTCTTGAAATGAGTACTTTAATGTTTGTAAGAATTATCAGAAAATCCAGATAATAATGCTATCACGTGGATTCTCATTGAACTTGTTCAATTTTTACATTTTCAGTCAGATTTTATCCAAAAAATATTTCGTACTACATAAAAAAAAACACACGAAAAATTGCTATGTGAACGTCAATCCCTATGTGAGAATTTGGAGAAACAAGCTGGTTATAATTTTTTCACCCCTGTTTGGATTATTTAATTACAGTACACCAGTGAGAGTCATATGAATTCAAGATATCTCAACGGTCACCCTTGTCAGCGTGACGGTAGACTGGCTCAGTCGTGGCGATTTTATTGTCCCATATGATAATTCCTTTAGAACGAGTTTGTAGAATCTTTCCCACTAACGCGAAATGCAATTTCCCGGTTGACCATGATTTAAGAAGAAAATAAAATAAAAAGTGCAAAAAATTGTAGGCGAGAAAATTAGGTGGTGAAAAGGCCAAAGTACAAATACCCTCTCCCGGGACCAAATAATCCAAGGTGGCTGACATTGGCTGAATATTGACACAACGAAAAATAATCTAGAAGACTGATCTACTGAAAGTCGAAAATTGATAAAACGTGGCGAATTTATTATATTAACCAGGCATTCTATTCGGAAACTGTTCTTCACCGAAATGCGAGCGTAACTAGTTCGGGGGAGGAGAGGGGGATAAAAAATTTAGATGAATCTATATAACAACCTATCAATCGCATCATCTGATGTGCGTGGGAAGCCATGTACACCGCGTTTTCACTGAGCGTGAAAATATGGACTTTGCGCATCGTGACAGTGACCTGAGTGACGCTGATCTGGGGACGAGCAACGATAGACAACTTTTTCGAAGCAAGTACACTCTGACGTGAACGCAATTAGCGTATGCACAACTATTTCTGTTTTCCTTTATCGTGCCGACAGAGTTCAAATCCCCTTAGGGATATCAGTGTCAGTATAACTGTTGTCTTACACCTACCTCGGCGTAAAAACAGTCGGGAACACAAAAACCGAGCGGGACCTAAACGCCATAATCTCTCTGCGACCATGTGCAACAAATTTGCAAGTGAACTAGACCTTGAAACTTCATATGAGTGCCATGGTAAATTGAATTAACGCGCAGGTGTGCACAAGGTATATATATGGAATCCTCGGGGGCGGAGCTACGTCACAAGACGTTCCACGTTGCTACGACGCGCACCACTGTACATGCATTTCTATGGGCTCTGTGCGCGCTGCTGTGGAACGCCGGTCGAGCCGGTGAAAATTCGAGAAAACAACACAAACTCAACTTTGAAGTAATCCCGAACAACCAAATTTATATATGTTACACACGTAAGACTAATCTTGTTACACTGTTCAGATGAGTCTCAACAATCATCCCAAAATACCGTTTTCTGCGAGTTTTGGGCCTTTGTTTTCACCGCCTCCGGTTGCCAGGCGGTGAAAATGCCCGGATGTCCGCCCGAGGATAATCAGCAAATAGATTTATTATAATGACATCATATCTACTAAATTCTCCACAATGAATTAAAATTTGACTTCTACTATTGAAATAAACTTAAATTGTAAACTCTAAGTTTTGGTAAAAAAAAAAACCAACAATATATATATATATCATGAATTGTGCAATATATCCTGGCATACACGCTCTCGGCTGCGGTGTGAGGGGGGGGGTAGTTATTCCTGAATATAGTTGTTAAAATCGAAATGTATATTATTATGATATTTCAGCAGCCAAGGTGTGTCAACTTTTGATGATTAAAAAGTACACACGCGGCTGAAATATTTGGTTTATCGAAAAGTTGCCCTTCTACGGATTAGTGCCATTGTGCGCATTCTCCAGTAGATTCGATTTACAGTCTCTGTCCCACGGGTACAGTTTGTTATGCTGCCCTCAACGGCAATTGTGATACTAGTCAGTGTAGCGACAAGAGCCTTACATCCCTCGAAACGGTGGTGTAAACGCAATATTATGTGATCGTTATCTTTTTTTTTTAATTACTGGACACAGCCTATGCCGGTGTATCACGAGCTGACACACGCTTAAATATAATAAATAGGTAACAGCTGCTAGCACTGATTAAATATGATATGAGGTTGGTTATATAGCGTGTATTATTTAAAAATGTCGCTCAGCATATTTATATACTGTAAAGGTAGTAATTATTCACTGGGTTTTAATTTAGCTTATTTCGCTGACTGGAAAATGCGCTAAATTAAAACCCAGTGAATATGTAAAATTTAGCATAGAACACATTATCTAAATGACGAAACCGTGAATTTAAAACCCACTGAATATGCCTGAAATGGTAAATCAGTGAAATTTAAACCCAGTGAAAATTAGTCATTTTACAGTATTTATTAATTTATTTATTTATGTATTTATAGCATTTTTCCGATTGAAGACGTATATCGCCATACGGACAATCATCTCCTGTCAACAGAACGAGACGATCCAGAGTATCGGAAATGCGGGACAGCACATCACAACTCGAGCATATTCACGTGTATAGATAGAGACTACGTCAGTTAATGCGAGAAAATGACGTCTACGTGCCCATCGAGATTTAAGAACAGCTCAAGGACCGATTCAGCTTTACGTACGAGTACCTTCAAAATACGAGTGCCGCGAGCCTGGCAAATGGGCAGCCTACTACCTTGGAATTCTAACCCACACTCTCCCCGGTGTTGACCGTCATGCCATACACCAGGTCATTGACCGCATTCACTGTACGAGATTACGAGACGACTATTAAGAGTATAAGGCTGGAGACGCGTTAATACAGATACATATTTGACTCCGAGTCTAAAAGTTGTGCTGAATCACGTAATTAGCACATTATTAGTAACCGTATAATCGGCTGAATTGTGATGCTATTGGTGGTGGATGCATTGGTAGAAAAAAAAAAACAGCAATGCATTATGTGTGACCGTGTGTTTTTTATTAAATTAAATCAAATAAAATGATTTCCTAATAATAAAAGTTATTTCGAAAATAATAGAACAGAATCGGACCTACGTTAACGAATTTGGTCCAGTTAATTCAATTGATTAAGCATTGATGCACACAAAATCGTTTTCGTTAAGTAGTTTTCGAGAAAATGTCAAGAGTTTACGTAATGATAAGTGGCGCCCGGGAACATTATCGAGTCGCTAACGTGAAATTAGTTATTTCGCGTTGTTATCATAGCTTACTTCACTGTTTCTCAAGTTTTATGTCTAACATAATCGACCAAGCGACTGGATGACAGTCAGCAAGATATTGATCCAGCTTAGATTCTGGCACAAAGACTACTAGTATTACAAGTGAACGTTGGAAAATAATTGGCCAAGCCCGTACGAACAATACTCAATTTGGAAATATACTGAGAAGTTTCAGAGGTACATAGACATTCAACATAGATAGACATTTTGAGCAATCGGTTACGGTATTAGTACATTTATGAATAAGGCGCGTATACAAAACAGCTATCGCATCAATAGTACTGACATTCCATTGGCCAGGGAACATGAAAAACACTGCTGTTGAAATTTCAAAAGAAACTGTTTTCTGAATAAACACAGGGTAATGGACATTTAAAAGAGCCGCTCAAAGAAATACTGCAACGTATTTAAAGCGCGATGGTCGTTGCGCAGCGCGTGTTCGAATTTCATGTAAATAAACAATGTATTTTACACGCGTTGTATACGTCGCTACGAGTTCCATATCGAACAGCACGCGGCACGACGACTGCCGCCCATTAAACTTATTAACAGGAAAAAAGTTAAATTAATGTCAAACTTCTGATTGAGTGCACACAAGTCGAAAATGGAATTGGACCGCCATTAAGAAATTCATCAGACGTTGAAAAAACCCACTGTATTCATATTCCAGCAATCAAATTCTAACTTTTCAGTCTGAAAACAACACCAATATATATGAAATGCTTAGTTTAACAAACTTACTTACTTCTGTTTTTCAAGCTCAACATTTGAATTTATAATAAATCATATTTCAGTATATTAGTGTGTCGAACAATATTTTCGTCCACATTGGCTTAGACTCGCCCCTAAAAATAGAGTTTGGTGTTCAGTAAAATGATCAAAAGTGTTATGAAGTGAAAGCTGGTGCAATTGGAAATTTAAGCCACATTGTAGCCCAGGAATTACGTTGAATTTTATATCCCCGATCCTGTCCTACTTTTTACTGATTCCAAACCACTTACCAACTATCTGTTCCACTTTCAACTTTTCTCAACTCTTAATACAAGTCACGAAATTCAAATTGTGACAGGTGGAGCCTATATTCAAAAGCTACATATCAATCAACTTATGAATATTCATGATCTTACATATACTAGTAACTCCAAACCATTGACGGACATAGAGTTCCAGGTAGCCCAGAACAGTAGGTTTATCATATCACTCGTTGCGCAAAGTTCGAATTACAGTTGAACCTAGTCTAGGTTGTTTCTTTTTTTCAGTACCTTTTCCTACTTTGACGTAATGTGGTATGATGTAATGCGAAGAACAAATAGATATGAATTGTCGTGACCACAAAATAAACACAGAATAGTGTATCTCGGAATGGTGCATTCAGATTGGTGGATTAGCACTAGGAACATTTTAAGGATGGTTTGTAGCCTTTGACATAAACCAAGATGTGTTATGTGTGACATGGAACTGAGAGCAGTGACTCACATAGTGTGGACTAACAGACATGGCAATAAGACAAACTCATTAACGATGTATAAACTCAGATTTTATTAAGATTACAACGATCAAGCAAGAAAATAAAACCTTGGGCTTCACATATCATAATTGTGTTGGTGGTCCTTGCCAAAATAGACACTGCACACAAAAAACAGACACATGACAATACAATATATGTTTATAATTCATCATTGAAGAAGAAGTAGCATAGATTCATTGTAATTATAAGCACTGTTGTCGACATAAAGTACACTAAATCTAGAAATGTCCCATATGGTCTCTTTACAGAAGAAATGGTCTATTCAATATCATTATATGACGAATGTTCGAGGACTCAAAATATTATAAATTGTTGCAAAACTAGCTCTGAAATGTGGCGTATTATGCATCAATTTTTTCATATAGTTAAATCTGTTTCATGAACGATTTGTCATAACTTCGAGAATGTAATTCTCAACAGACAGGAAGTACACAATTCCTTAAAAGTACAATGTAATTTAGCTGTAGGCATTTATAGCTTGAATAAAGAAGACGTAAAAGAAATAACAAATGAACAGTATGTAAGACAAAAATATTGTGAAATTGTGAAATCTTGCAGAAATTAGATCAAATATTGCTTTGATGATTGAAGTTGTATATAGTAAATCAGAAACGACACAAAGGTTATCAAATATGCAGATTAAATTGTTAAAAATTGTGCGGTCCATAACCTCTGAACCTAAAATATTGAGGATGATCTCCAAAATGCTTGATCATATAACAGTATGGCCCAATGTTTGTCTCAACAAATACATTTATATGTATTACTCACATGCCCAATTTAAAGAATCAGTGTTTGTATAATCATACAAATAGAATGAAATAGTAAAAAAAAATCCTTTATTTGAACGTCATAATATCTACTTTTCAATGTGCTGTACGACTGCTACACGTGAAAAAAAACATGTGGGTTCATTCTTGACAAAAGTTTTGCAGAATCTACAAAGCAAGCAGAAAATCTAATACATCCTATTCAGTATGCTTAAAAAACCAACAAAAGCTAGTACATATTTCATCAAGGCACAATGTGGAGCTCTAGTGCCATCACTGATGATCTTTTTGTTTGGCTGTTCCATAGAGCTTCTTCTAATTTTTCCCCAATTGGTTTGGGTTTCACTTTACCTGATAACTCAAGATGAAACACAGCAGGCCTCACAACCTGCTTTCGGAATGAGAGAGTAGTGAAACCATGTTTGTCTCTAATCATAAAATACCCATTGTCATTACCCTTTGTGATATTGTACTGCATGTCACCAACGAATGATGCTAGCGAGGGCACAAACTTCAATATTCTACTCCGAGGTTTTGCATGTGGGAGCTTTATTGTGAGAACAATGGGTTTAGGATTAGTTTCCAAATCTTCATCTGCAACATTATTATTATCTTGTTCATCTACATCTCTTGCTTCAGTATCATTGGAATCAGCAGGTTCATGCATGTTTCAATATCATTCATTGATGAATTACCAGGTACATGTGATTCACCAAAATCGTCCTCACTGACATTGTCCGAAGTATTACGTGGAATGGGACTATCCCAAGTGGTAGTTTCTGTGCTAGAACGATTTAATAAGCTGTCAGTCCAATTATCAATACCGAGAGGTTCAGAATTATTCATAAGAGCAGAGCCATTTTGCACACCAACAAACCTTTTGTCAGAATGGTTTTTCCAGCTCTTCAGATTGTGAAGTATTTCCGTCAACAGCCCATCTTGTGGTAGTTGAGGAAGAAACACCGATGTTGGAATTGTCATCATGAATTTTTTCGGCATTGCTTTTATGTTTAACCTCTTTATTTAAAATTTCTGGAGATCTCTTGAATCTACCATATGGATTATACTCAGCACCGGAATTATAATTATCATCAACTGGCTTGTTAAGATAAGGATAACCACCATTTACCGGCTGGTTGTTAGGATGCCCAAAAGGTTGATTGTTTGGTTGTCCAAATTGTTGGTTGTTAGGCTGTCCGAATTGTTGGCTGTTAGGCTGTCCGAAAGGCTGTCCAAATGACTGGCCAACTGGCTGTCCAAATGGCTGGCCAACTGGCTGTCCATATGGCTGACCAGCAGGTTGTCCAATTGGTTGACCAAATGGCTGACCAACTGGTTGTCCAAATGGCTGACCAACAGAAGGTTGTCTCGGACCCAGTGGTTTTCCATAACCTTGTCCATAACCTTGTCCATACCCCTGCGATTGCCCAAATGGCTGTATAAAAGGTTGATCAGCAGGATTTGCATAAGGTTGCTGGTAATATCCAGTGTCAACCGGTTGCTGGCCCTGATAGTATGGATCTTGATTAACGTTAAGGTTAGGTGATTGGTAACCACTTGGTTGAAGTGGAATCTGTAAAGGCACACCTCCACCACCATTCTTCTTTGCTAAGTCACATTCATAGCACCCTTCAGCTTCCCTTCCTAATGTTGATACGCATGACCTGAAATTGAAATAAAAAAGTAGTTTGTAATAATTACATACAGTTTTAAATGATTTGTACTTTTGTGACATTGCTTTGACTAAAAAACCTGCAATTGGCAGAATATTTTGGACCCAATAACAGTCACAAGTATATAATAAATGCATATATATCTATAGAATATATAATTAAGCTCAAAACGGAACATGTATGTGAATATCTTGTGTCATACTAAAAAGCTGGCACAAGATATTCCCCTAGTTACATGTATCTAAAAAGTTTATAAAATCACAGAATGTTTTATTTAGTGTAAGTTAATTGGGTATAAAGTTGGCAACAACTGCTATATAAGGTTATCACACCTATTGCGAGAATAAAAATTCACAAAAACAAAAATTTGTTGTTTTTCAGAATGTATGAAACATCTCTACGGACTGGTACTGTTGACATTGCAAACTTTCCTGACTGCTGTTTAAGTAGAGATTGGCATCAATGGTGTACACATACTCACCCCTGAAATGCAGCTGTGTAACCAGTAGGACACCCACAACTAAAACTACCACGCGTGTTCTGACACTCAAAAGAACAAGGATTCTGACCACCTGACACAGAACCACTGCATTCATTCACATCTTGTAAGGCAAAAAAATAGAAACTACATTAATTAATGTACATTACACATCTACATATTAATTAAGATATTTGCTTAAATTAAGTGTGAATTCAATTGGCTCAAATATCGCTGAGAAATGTTCAAATTTGTTCACATAAATGGCCACTAGTTGTTCAAATGACAGTAAATCTGAGATAGCTCCGCTGTTAGCATTGCACATTTCAATTAAAGAACTAAAGATATCATTAGAAGATGAACAATATGTATAGTATCATTAAAGCAATCAGATTTGCTGTTTTCAATAAGAATTCGAAAGAATAATATTCAAAAAACTTTTTATCAAAAATTATAAAAATATTCATTAAAATTGGAAAATTGAAGATATCATCACAAAATGAACAAATCTGAGAGAGGTCCACATGTAGTACCTATATATGTAATATCAAAGCAATCAGACTTTAACAGGTTTTAACAAGAAGTCTAAAATATCACTTTTTACCAAAAATTTAAAAAATATTCACCAAAATCAGAGAATTGACCATATCATCATGAAATGAACAAATCTAAGATAGGTCTATCCAAGGTACATATACACCAAGTATCAAAGCATTCAGGCTTGTAGTTTTCAAGAAGAAGTCGAAAAAGTAAAACATTGACATGGACGACGGACAATCACTCATAAGATAAGCTCCGCTCAACAAAGTCGACAGTGGAGCTAAAAAAGTAAATTGAAAATGTCTCACCTTGACATGATAAATACTGCTCATTGAAGGAAAAACCAGAAGAACATCCGCATTTATAACTACCCACTGTATTGTAACATGTTGCTGATCCACATCTCTGATTACTGGCACATTCATTGTCATCTGAGAAAACACACAGAAGCCATATTAGTATACATCTAGCATTGAAAACAATAGAATTTGTCATTCCATAATAAGCACTCGTTCTAAAATGTACTAGCATTCACATTTTAATTTTCTTTTGTTTACATTGAACGCAGAAGCATTACTATGTGCCATTGAAATAGAATCTCATCACTCAATAATATTTGCACAGTACGTTTTTTGTTTTAATTTCAGTCTATAATCTCTCATAAATTATTACTACAAGCCAGTAAAAAAAGATAAATAATAATAAAGGTATCATGAAAATATCCCAAAGTATGCACTCAGGCTGTGTGCACTTATTTATTTACAAATAAAAACAAAAAATAGATATATAATTATAGTTATTCTGTCTTTGAAGCAAATGGCAAATGCTATTACATGTAATGTTTTGATGACGTATTAAAATTATATTTTATATATAGTAATTTGTTTTGAAATCCGAACATAATTTTGCATGTTGAACATTCTTATACATGTAACATTCAAATTTCAAGGAACATTACATAAAAAAATACTGTGATGTTATGCCTTTGTTTTCACCAATTTACTTACCAACACACTGATTCCAATAATAGTGTTGTAGAAATCCTTGTGGACAGTTACACCTATATCCACCCACAGTATTTTGACACCCATACTGGCATTTATGATTGCTACCAATGCACTCATCAATATCTGAAATAATAAAAAAAAAACATGTCATTTTCCTATATTATTTAGTAGTATTTAGTAGAAAATGTAAATCAAATCCCAAAAATCAAATCTAATTCACATGCACATCTTAACTGAAAATGGAATCAGAGAGCCATTTGTAATTTGATCAATAATTGCAAGTAATAAAGCCATGTCATGACTCCAGCCAGAACAGCATTCTTGTAAATAAGTCAGCTTTTTTGATTTAGATCTGTACAACCAAATGCATATGCATCAAGAACAAAACCATTTTTAGCATTAAAATGGCCACCAGTCGGCCGTCTTGCTTTGTGAAATGAAGTAGTGTGAACTAGTAAATCAGAATTTAATGTCTTCATGCTAATCTGCATACAGACTCATGGATAAAGCTCAAACCAAACATAAATTAAAAGCTGATAAATGCCGAATTGCTAAATACTCACCTTGGCATATACTGAGAGTGACTTCCCATGTATATCCTCTTTGACATTCACAGTGATAACTACCAGGGTCATTCTGACAGGTACCAAAACCTCCACATAATTGGGGCTGTTCAGCGCATTCATTCACATCTGTATGGTTAAATAAAAATAGGAAGCAATTATATCCACTGTGATCCATTAAATTATTGCTGCTAGACTCATAGTTTTTTAAGACAAATGTCATGAAAATAATAAATGAAATTCTCACTATTCAAATAATTTTCAGGCAGATTTGAATAACAGTATATGACAGATGTACAAGAGTTGAACTAAATTTAATTTCATTAAATTTGCTAATTAGCTTATTATTACACACCACTAAATTTCACACAATATAAATAAAATTATTTTACAAAAACATAAAAAAAGTATTTTTTTTAATAGTGGATTAAACTTATTTCATAAAAGATTAAGATTTAAACATAAATACTGACCAATACATCCCGAGCCATGCTGCGTGTAGCCTTCAGGGCAGTTACAGTGAAAACCACCAATCGTATTCACACAGATATACATACAGTTATGAGCCTCGGTACTGCACTCATCAAGATCTATCAAATGAACAAACATTCAAACTAAACCATGGTACTATATTCCCATTAAAACAAACACTACCTTTAATATTTTCTATGATAAAAACAAATTCAGTATATAATAATGCAATTTTTGCCTATATGTGCATCAAATAGTGGGAATAAGGTATACATTTGTTGATACAAAATAGTCATTATTTCTGAAATTTGCACCATGCATTTTTCGCATTAGGGTCATGTATTAATCATATTGATTTTACACATTTATTGCATTTCCGTCACGTTAAAATTGCACGATTTTAACCACCACATGATCATGGTGATCTAAATAATGTACTCATCATTTCCTTCTAGTGTAAATATTTTAGTACCTCATAATGTAAAAATTATACAAAACATGATTTTTTTTTACTTCCATTATAGCATTCATTGCTAAGAGATGCAAGGCATGAGATAAAGTGTATTATAATATTTGGTGTCGAAATAAATGCATATAGACAAGAACAGAATAAGGTGAGTATATCTTACCAGTACATTTGCCATCTGAGCCTTGTATGAAACCACGAGGACATCCACAGAGAAAACTGCCTTCCGTATTCTGGCAGTTATAATCACACGGTGACGTAGGTAGATCACATTCATTAACATCTAAAAGGATGTAAAATATTGACATATATAAATAACAATACAAATATGAAAATCAAGCATTGAGAATTAATGCACAAACCTTGCTTATAGTATTACAGGTAATCCTAATTACATTACAAGTCACATGTATAGATAAACATGTCTACTAAATATGTATATCAACACGTGTGCCGAAAATTTGTATTTGAGAAAAACAAAATGGCTGCCAATCAGCAAAACATATGATGTGCACCATATTTAACCCAGTATATATGATCATGATATAACCCTATTAATCTACGAGAAACGGTTCCAGACACATTTACGTATCACAATTTAGCAAATTTGATCAAATGGTGTAAAGAAATGTACTCGCATATGTACTCATAAATTTGAATGTATCTTACCAACACATTTAGTTCCTTCAGTGTCACTGGTATATCCACCATTACATATACATCTGTATGATCCAACAGTGTTAAGACATATGCCATGTTCACATAGTCCTGGTACATCGATACATTCATCTATATCCTGTCCATCTGGATTCATACCGCCATCTTTGCACAGCTCCTCAAATAAAACTGAAATTACGGTGGAATCAAGAATGATATCAAACAGATGAAGATATGGTTTGTTATCTATATACACAAATGCCCTATGTAATGAGCATTTTGCATAATCCGCTCAGATGCTCGATTACTTACAGGCACTAAGGCAGGTGAAATATACATAGTTATAATTATGAAGATATGGGAAAATGTGGCAATAAATATCTTTGGAACAGCAATAATTGATTAATTTATGTAAAGATCTATGTCAGACCATCTATGAACGAAATGTTATTTAAATCTGTTAAGTGGTTCAGAAGGTTGCCTAATTTAAGGAAATTAAGTAAAGAATATGCACATATTTCAACCCTAAATTAATAAGAATTGTGCATTTACCAGATTTACCAAGTGTCACTGACATTTAATGTGTGTTACTGGATTAATCTTTAAAACAAACTGGAAGTTTACATATATTTCATAACAAACCAAAAAACAAACATTTCTTGTATCAAACCATGACTGAATAATAAGAATGCTATTGGAACCTCAGAAAAGTAAGTTATTTGTGTGTGTTATCTATTGTCTACAGGATCATTTGTAGGTCATGTTTTAAATGTTCCACTGTTCGTAACACCCTGTACTGTCTCTCAACGCTGTTTGTTCTCATTCAGTTGTAGCCTAAATTAGAATTTGAATCACTGGACCAATAACAACAAAATCTGTGACAGACACAATTTTGGAGAACTAAAAGAGCACAATTATGTAAATTTTCAAAGATTAAGAAGCCACTAAATTAAGATAAATAATTAGGTGTTCAAAGCTTTAGAGGGGGAAACATTTGTAATGTTTTTATGGTACATACACACAGAGATAACTAAAGCAACTGAATGTAAAGCAACTAAACGTTTTTGGCAATTATCAACCCTGTTGATAACGATCATGTTAGTCTTTCTTAAAGGTTGGTTTTGGTTACATTTGTGTCATCAG